AATAATGATGATGATGATGATGATGATGATGATGATGATGATGATGATGATGATGATGATGATGATGATGATGATGATGATGATGATGATGATGAAGAGATTCATTATACATGAGTGGTCTAAAAGAGTGATCTCAGCTGCTGTGACTGAGGACAGACACATTTTTGTTCTAACAACACCTACATATAACTCTTACCAATCTCTGTCTGATAACTTTACACTTTAACCTCAAGAACTGCCAGATGTTTCCCCCAATAAAGAATTATCTTATGTTAGAAACCCTTCAGGCAGGTATAACCTCAGTGCAACAAGCATAAAGGAGAAGATCTAAAGTCCAAGTCTTTTTTATTCTGTGACTTCTCACAGTGCACTCATGTGTTTTGGAAACTTTAATTCATATTAAAAGCTACAGCTCTTTCTGATGGGGGGATAAAAGAAAGTCAAGCAGCTGTAGCACGCGCCAACATCTCCAGCTATTTTTAAGAGCCGTCTGCAGCATTCAGTGATCGTTAACCGCCCGCAGTGGTTTTTACACACTGACAAAATGCTGCAGTGGCAGGAACAGAAACCACAACACAGCTGAAAGTGGTGAGAAGATGTGGGAGCAATAATGTAGCCGCATTATAATGTGCTTCATTCACCTCAGCAGGGAACACGAAGACAGACTCACCTTTGACCAAACCTGAGTGTTTTTTAATGCAGCTACACTGCAACCTGTTGGTCACTGTTTGCCATTACAACAACAAATCCACAAAAAAAAAAAAAAAAAAAAAAAAAAAAAAAAAGCTGCTTCCGCTGGTGCTGTCACTTGTAATGCCTACCAACACTGACAGCAAAGGTGAAGGGTCACATATGATAGTGTTGTGGTCCTACCTGGGCTCAACTCCACTAGATAAGGCAGTTTCTCAGGAGGCAGCGAGCTGTCCTTTCCTCTGAGGCCCTTGTCATCCACTTTCCTACCCTTCCTCCCCTGGTAGTCCGGAGGTCTCTTCTTCAACTGGAACACTAATGCCCCTGAAAATGAGGAAGACTAAATTTTACTACCTGTACTCTCAGTAGAGATTCCACAGGTTAATATACAGTAAGAAGATCAATTGTCAAAGAAAAATTCCATTTAAAAATAACAAAAAAAAAAAAAAAAAAAATCTGTAATTTCAGTAAACCAGCAGCAGGGGGCAATAGTGAACAAGAAGCGAGGGGACAAGTGCCTGAGTGTGTCTTTTACCTCTATCAGCAGGCCAGTCCCTGAAGATCTGCAGTGGACACTCATTATCGTCCAGAATCACCTCCTTGCCCGACTTATCATCTTGCTGCAAATAAAAGGAGACGAACACCAAATCAATTCAAAGTTTATTCACATGTCATGCAACTGTGCTTATTATTGGACTTATTAAACAACATGTTATAACATCTCCAGATGTTGCAGTTTAGAAATTGGTTGTTTTCCCATGTCCACATGGTCCATAATCCCCATTAACTAGTTTTCCAAGACACAATATAAAGAAAAGACGTCAGCCACTAATCCTGTTTTTCCACATCACACAGTCTAAAAATGCGTGCTGACCTGCAGCTTGTACTGGTTCAGTTTGCAGCTCAGTGGAGAGCAGATGCATTAGCGGATGAATTAGACCCTCAAGTCTGAGGCCCTGGTATTCAGTAAGAGATGGGTTGTTTTGAGGAAGCGCTACTGTCTCAAGTGGAGCATCTCAAGTACCTTAGGATGATGTTCACAAGCGGGGGAACAATGGAAAGTGGGAGAGCGACAAGTGGGCTTCTACAGCATCTGCAGTACTGCTAAGTTCTGGTGAGCTAAGGGGCATAGGGTTTAATTAACTGGCAGGGCTATGCTCTTACCATCACCTGTGGCTATGGGTTGTACCAGAAGAAAAAGATCATAAATACAGGCTGTAAAACTTTGTTTCCACCGAATGCTGTCTGGATTCAGGCTACACAATATCAGCTGATTGCAACATGGAACAAATGTGTTCCAACAGTTCATCCTTCTACTCGTCGAGCATAAAATTCCTGACCAACAAAACCCAAACGAATTTACTCAATAACTTTGTGAAAAAGACAGAAAAGACAGACTAACTGTGGTGGTGGTTACAGGTTACACATGTCCTCGCCTCCAAAAAGTCCAATTTAAACCTACAAAAGCCTTGTAGGTTCATAATTACACAAAGGTTAAAGGGGGAAAAAAGAGTTTTCCTCAACTTCAGTGACCTTGACTAATATGAGCTGATGGAGGAAATGTGAAAATCAATGAATAAGAAGATCACCAGGATCATAAACGTCACCAGTGTGTTTTTTTACTGGAAATCCCTAGCCAGCATTTCCATCCTGATGATATCACTTAAATTTAAAAAGCCAATAGGGGAGCAACGAGGAGCTCATCATGTCTCCAACTCTATAATCTTCTAACCTGACACATTAACCATTACAACAAACAACAATATTGTGTAATCTCAGTCCCGCCTTACACACAGAATGACTGATGTAATGTGGTTCAGGCTCCTTTAAGCCTCAAAGATGAGGTCATTTAACTACATCTGACAAGACAACGTCTCCAGAGAAGTCACAGGATGCAAAACAGAGCTTGAAAAGAAGGTGACTGGAATTAAAGTTTTTTGAAGATGTTTCACCTCTAATCCAAGAGGTTTCTTGATTGTTTCACAGGATGAAAGATTAAAAACAAAACAAAAACTTAATCCAGTCGCCTTCTTTTTCAGCACCTTAGACTATCATGACCTGTACGACTGAGAACCTACACAGACACGACGCAACAGCTAGTTTTCAACTCTCCAGAAGAGCTGGAGGCAGTGGTGGTTGTTAGTTTTTGATAGCTGTGTTTAGATTAATGCTCCCATGATGCAGATAAGGAAAAAAGGACGAGTGGGTGGATAGTGTTTACCAGTTTCTGGCATTTCTCATTGTTGCTGACCTCCTGAACCCTGCACTTTAGGGTGAACTCGCACTAGGCACAGTCAGTGACTGTCCCAAACTCCCACACTGGCCTGTGCTCGAACACTTAACGATGCAGACCCAAGGATGAGTCAGTCTGCCTCAGCCTCTAAACACATCACTCCATTTTGCACACTATCCTGTCAAAAATGTGTTAATTACTTAAGGCAATTTTTACACAACAAGCTGTCACTGAGGAAGTACTGGAGATCTGTGCAGGGAGTTTAGCTGAACTGTGCTGGACACACCTTTTCAACAGGCCAGACCTCGCAGCAGTAACACTAGTCAAAGGAAAAGCTTCAAACACACAACAGCTAACAAGTTAGCTCAGCTGAAAAGGGAAACTAGTGAGCTCGTTACTGGTTACGATGTGCTATCAATGTCAACTCTCTATGAGATCACACAGCCTCTGTACAATGTAACCATATGAGGGCTGTGCAGTTTTGGTAAAGCAAAGCACGCTGATGAGTTACTTTTCTAAG